GCGGGGGGGTTGTAACAAACTAGGCTGTTGTAAGAATTATCCAGAGTGGTTTATCGACAAAAGAGAATGGGAAGCTGAGCCGCATGGTGACCTGACCCCCAGGGGGATTCGCTGTGGAAATAACCGACGCTTTGTTCATAGCTGCGTATAATGAATCATCCTATAGTATTCAGTAATTTAGAGAAATTAGCCTTTATTCATTTTGCATTAAAATTGTATTGTATAATAGTACTGGATACAATATCAAGAGTATTCTAATTATTGAGTTTAAGTCACCATCAGTGACGTCACGAATCAGATCTAACTTTTAAGGCGGAGTGACCGGCGGTCATAGGTCAGCAGGGTTGACATGTCTAGTATTTCTCAAAGTTCAATTAACCATTTTGGGGATCGGGAACAGCTCTGCCGTTAGATGTTTGTAATTTAATTCAGTAAAATAATTCAACCAGTCTGGATCAATTAAGTACAACAGAGGTTAATTGTTATAACTTAAACCTGGCTAGTAACTTGGTAAAACTTTGACTAGGCGGAAGGATACAATGTTCTAGTCTGGGCTAGGCCAGACGAGGACAGATCAGTGTGAATACGGGAGCAGCTGGGAGAGGTCAACCATCTTACCTCTCCCCAAGACCAGCACAACAGCTAGAGCTGGTCGCCCAAGGTATAGTTGCTATGGTTATGTATAGAAATAGTCTCATTTGCCACTCAGGTCAAGTAGGGAGTGTTAAAGTGATAGGGAGTGAACATTTTTAGATTTTGTTTTAGTTTTCTTTTAATAAATTAAATTTGTTAATAATTTGCATTTTTATTGTCTCCATTTGGTTATGTGTATACTTGTCCTGGTCACGTGGTCCACACGAGGCAGAGTTGTATTGGGCGCCGATTCTAACATCGAATCGGAATTATCATTACCGTGTAATTTATTCCACACTCAAGGTCATCGTTTATAGTGGGGATCAAGCCCCAAGGTTGATTAATTAGCGTGATCGATCCAGACCTCGATCATTGCTCTTGTGTTACTGGTCTGGTGGTGGCAGCATAGAGGCGACTCTAGGGTTTGCTCAGAGCCTAGGTCACGTCATACTGGGTGTAGAATCCTAAGTCGGTCAATCGTCTTAGGACCACGTGGCGTGGAGTTGGCTTTGGTAAAAGTTTTGGAGTCCCTTGGTAGAGAATAAAAAGTAAGACTACGGGTAGAGGGCCAAGAAGGTAGAGAGAGAGAGAGAGAGGACCCAAACCCGGGTTACACCAGGACCAGTTCTAAGCGGCTGCCAGGCCCCAACAAGGCCGGTAGATTGGATCTACACAGCCCTCCTGAACCCCGTACTACGTCTACTACCGGAAAGAATCAAAGATACGACGGATTTCCTCAAGATAATTGCAGAAATTAGAGGTCCCGTCCCGAGAGGGGCCCGCCTTTTTTTCATAGATGTGGTAATTTGAAGCCACACGGCACCTCGGATGCATTTCCGATGGTTCCTTTCATATAAAAGGGGTGACGCCGAGGAAAATGAGACTCGCGTCTCTACCAAAACAAAATTAGACAAACACCCTTCTGCAATTTGAAGGACGGGCATACCGGCAAACCAAGGGTACAGCGATAGGAGCATCCAGTAGTGTGGCAATCGCTGAAATATTTGTGCATGTAGTGTTCGAGAGGAAACGATCCCACAGGAAGGACGGACCGGCAGTATATTTCCGTTACATAGATGACATCTTCGGAATAATGGAGGACGGTTTCCCGCGCCTAGAAGGTTTCTTTTCATGGTCAAATACAGTTCATGAAAACCTTAAGTTTACCCTCGAGCACAGTGACTCCACGATTAATTTCCTAGATACAACAGTGTATATAGACCAGCTAACCAGGAATCTGCATACAAAGGCATACTATAAACCGACTAACCTTCACACGTATCTGAAATTTGACTCGAGCCACCCACTAGCCTTGAAGAAATCGCTACCCTACTCACTTGGACTCGGACTCAAGCGGATTAACAGCAAAGAGACGCTATATCCCCAGTGTGGGAACCGACCTGTGAGATTTATATTTATTTAATTTATATGAATTTATATTTACGTTAATTTATATACTTCGATAGCAATTTGTATAATAATTAGTGGACTGTATTTCTGCAATAATCTCATAATCTCATAAATCGATCCTCTACACATTAGGGGGGGTTTATATTAAATGAATTTATATATATGCAGCCAATCAAACTACAGTATTAACTACACATATTGAAGAGGTTCCTTATCTTATTTGTACAGCAGGCCTTAGTCCACCAGATATAACTAGGATGTAGACACCACATTTTCCTCGTGTGAGGTAGCTTCCAACATCCAGTAACTGATGCACAAAGTCTTGCTTCCTCGTCTTGACCTGTCAAAAGGGCGCTAGCTGTAAAGCCAGAATCCTAATATGACAGTTATATCAGAGAAAACACTGTACAAGGAACCATGAAGACCTGGGCTAATTACCTTTAGTATGAGGCGATCTCATGCTCTAACCGGTTCACCCTATATCCACTGACATTAATGGCCATAAATGAAAGATAAATGGGTTTCGGCAGAACACTTAACTTGAATTTGTTGACAGCGTGTTGATAATGGTACACCTTTGGTTTCCATAACACTTCGTCCAAGTAAAATTAACAGGAGCCGTATTTGCTCCCGTGAGCCTCTGGTCTTAAACAATAACAATGGCTGACCACTCCCTCACCCTGACGCTACTGGCCTACATTGTCCAGATGACAAAGTGAAAGAAGGGTCACATTTACTCTATTTTGATATTGATAATTAAGTTAATTTATATGAGATGTTTTTATGATGGTAAAGTCCAAAGACTAATGTATTTAAGAATAATTCACACCATAATAGGTGGTGAGTTTATAATAGTATGTGGTAATGATATCCCATTTTCTATAGACAGAATGTTCCACTACAAGTTACATTTTCTATGGGTTAACTTGTTTATACAACACAGCTATTATCTGTCTGTATGATATTATTAAATGGTGTCGGATTTTCCGACACCCAGCTTGATGACATATGGGATATGTTCAGGAACAGAGACTACCCAGAGTCAATAATACTTGCGGCCCAGGAGAAACTCAGAGAAAAAACAAGGGCAGAGCTACTCAGACCTAGAACACAAGAAGTGGAAGACAAGAGATGGATCCTCCCAACCCTTTTCTTCCCCGGCCTTGCAGCACAGCTTAAGATAAAACTCCAGGAAGTATGGACATGGACGAGGGAAACGTACAGTGATCATCCATCCTGGGTAAAATTCCCACAAAACCCTCCCATGAGCGCCTGGAGGCGAGGGAAGTCTATAAAGGACAACCTTGTAAGAGCAGCTGTGCAGGTAGATCATCTCAACCGAACTGGGGGAGAGGACCAGCCCCAGGTTACAGTTCAAAGAAATGAAACTTTCTGACCCTAACCTAACCTGACACAGGTTTGGTGTGCGACTTGCGTGGAGGCGGAGTATGCAGAGTGGTTAGGAGGGCCTACAAGACAACCGAGACGTTTTACCACACGATAAGGTCCTCTAAATTTGTGTGACATAGAAGTTCCCATACGAGGCTTCAAGACCATTACTAAATCTCCTGATTAAAAAACTCTGAGTTTGGCCTTGAACCGCTTATCATCCCTCTCCTTCATTACCTGTTGTGCCTCACCCAGATGTTGTAACGCCAACTCCTTCGTTCGAGACAGCTTGCTCTTCACATCCTTCAGGTATCTGTCACTCTGCCTAGCTGTTACAACACAATTGTGACAATATCTGACCACATCCGTTTTGAGTTTTGGCCAATAGAAAAACTTAAATATTTTATGATACATATTGGTGACCTTGGTGACCTCCTATAAGGTCATCATGGGTAGCTTGCAATACCTGCTCCCTATACTCCTTGGGTACGACGAGCTGGGTTCTAGACTCACAATCATCTGATAAGGGAGTTCTGGTGGTCTCCATCGTCTCATCGAACATCGATCAATGAAGTAGCAACCCGTACTCTTATCCAAGGTATCTATAGTGTCAGCTGCTTCTGTATAACATTCAGCTAGACTGGGATCAGTACACTGCAACTCACTAAAGGTCTGGGACTCAACAGCAACTCACTAAAGGTCTCAGACCCAACAGTCAGTTGGAGCGAGCGGGCAAAGAACTGGTACCTGGGCCACCTCTTCCAGACCATCCTCTGGGTCAGAATGTCTGGGACAGAATAAATTAGGGCTTTGGCACCGGCTTCACTCTCGACATCCGCGTGAGCTAAGAATGTATCCTCAAGGTCCACCTCCACCTCCCTGTCTGAAGGGGTCCTGGCCTCGAAAACATTCACCTTGAAAGTCACAGGATTAGCCTCACCCTACTTCCAGGGACACTGGAAGCACCAGTGTCCCTCAATAACTGCACTTACTTCCACTGGTACAAAGTAAGGTACCCGAATATATGTAGGGTTTAAAGTTAGTCATCCAATTGGGCATGACTGGAACAACATTAGAATTAATTGCTTGCAACCCCCGTCTCATGATTAGACCGGTAGGTCTCAACTCAGGGTGCAAGGAATAACAGGAATTAACCACATGACCTCTTCTGCAATGCGTGCAATATCTGCCAGTGGTCGAAACAACCGAATCAACTGCAGGTTTAGACACTACATTATTTGAGGGTGACAACCCTGTCTGCTGTTTCTCAATCTTTGGCTTTACAGGAGAAGAGTTCAGGGGAGTAGGTGAGTTAGCTGGTCGGCCCTGTAAAACATGAGATTTAGGAACATGATAATCTTAGAATTATAAGTATTTGATTGTGCTCGAAAAGGCCCCTTAGTGAGTAATTCGTGTTCGTCTGCTAGCTTGGGTAGTTTCATAATGTCATTGGTCTGTTTATGTTCAGCTATAAACAAGGCTAATTTCTCTGGTAGACAACCTAAAATCTCCTCTATCACTGTGAGGTTTCTCATAATCTCAAATTCTGTAATGGAAAGTGCTTTTACCCATCTATCAAAATGATTAATTTTAACTCTTGCAAAATCAGAAATGGTCTGATCATGTGCTCTCTTTATACCTATGAATTTCTGTCTATGGGCCTCTGGGATCTGTTGTATGCATTTAAGATGCTCTGTTGGACAAATTTAAAGTCAAAAGAATTAGCGGCAGGAAGAGATGCAAAAATTTCCTGGGCTTTCCCCTTAAATTGTCTTTGCATGATGGCAACACATTGATCCACAGGCCAATTCATACTGACTGCTAACTTCTGGAAATGCAAAAAGAATATTTCTGGACCTCCTCATTGAATTGAGGTAAATGTACATTTTTCCTAAACTTTAAAAAACTATCAGTACTATCTGTATAATTACTAGTGTCACCATGCCCTGCTGCAATTCTCTGTTCCTCTAGTCTGTTATTATTTATTGCTATACTCTGTTGAATTTCCAATTGCTGCCGCCTAACTTTCTCTAGTTGCAACTGAGCTTCAATTTTTCTGCTCTGTGCTTCTAGTTCCACTCGTTTTAGTTGGTTTTGAGCTTCAATCTCAAGTTGTTTTTGCTGGTTCTGAGCCTCGAGCATCTGCTGCTGAGTGTCCAACTCCAGCTGTTTTTGGCGATTCTGCATCTCCAACCTCTGTTTCTCTGCTTCTAACTTAGCCATCTCTAGCTTAGATTCAGTCTCTAACTTTAGAATTGCCAACTGGTCACTTGACTCTTCTTCTAATTCCTCTAACCACTCCTCGTCAAGTTTCTCCTCCTCCACCAAGTGTGACTCTTATGACTCTTACTAGCTGACCCTTTAACATTCTCCTGGAAACTGTCAGATTTAATTTTTCAGCCATGTACAACAACCCAGACTTCTTTAAGTCTTTAATTTCACCAAAATTTGGCTGTTCCACCAACACAGCAACTTGTTCCTCCATTGTCAGCTTAATTAACACAACTAGCAATTACAACAACACTGAAGGTTTGCTTGGCCCCCTGGCAAAAGCGGTACACTTACCTCAATCGTGAAGTGTTGAGAAAACTTCCACAAGCAGTTTGCTGATAATGCAAAAATTATGAGGAGAATCAAGACGGATGAAGATACACAAGAGACTACAGGATGACCTGGACAAACTGGAAGAATGGTTTAAAAAATGGCTGCTAAAGTTCAACCCAGGAAAGTGTAAGGTAATGAAATTAGGTGAAGTGAGCAGGAGGCTGAACACAAGGTACCACCTGGGAGGTAAAATCCTGCAAGAGTCAAATAGAGAGAAAGATCAAAGGGTTGATATCACACCGAACCTGTCTCCAGAGGCCCACATCAAAAGGATATCATCAGCGGCATATGCTAGACTGGCCAACATAAGAACTGCCTTTAGAAACTTGTGTAAGGAATCGTTCAGGACCCTGTATACCACTTATGTCAGAGCAATCTTGGAATATACAGTGCCAGCCTGGAGTCCGTGCCTAGTTAAACACAAGACAAAGTTAGAGAAAATTCAGCGGTATGCCACCAGGCTCGTCCCGGAACTGAAAGGAATGAGCTACGAGGAAAGGCTAAAAAAGCTGAACCTCACGTCCCTGGAAAACAGAAGAGTAAGGGGAGACATGATTGTCGTGAAGGAAAGCTTACTCTCAATATATTGATGTTTAATTAACTGATTTAAATTACTCGAAGGACCACCCTATTTTTACTGAAAAGGGAAACAGATAAATAAGCAATAGAAAAGGGACTGAAATACCAGTGCCTGTGGACAATGTCACTATTAAGAATTATTCCTAGAATATTAATGGACTGTAAATTAAATTACTCTTCAAGAAGTACACTTTCCCTTCTTCACAAATGGGGGGTTAATACCAGAAGTAGAGTACTCCCAGTACACTTTATCCAGGCTGGTTGTTCCTCGAACAAAATTAGTAACTACTTTACTAAGGTATAAATAAAATAGACATTTGATAATTTGGTTAGTAGCAAGAATATGTTGGACAATGATTATACGAGAAATTGTTCTCATATAAAATTTCGTGAGGCTATGAAATTATTCTTGACCTCTTAAATTTCATAAATGAAATATAATCTCAAATTATTATCGGATTTCAACCGTTCATTAATAAATAATAACTAAATTAAAGTAATTTCAGCCGCTTAGCTGTAACAGTGAACGGAGGTGCGGTGTGGAGCTGGTGTCATCTGGGGACTTGCTAGAACTCGTGATCCACTAGTGTAGTGTGGGAAATTGTTGCACTCACGCCAGCTCCAACACACGCTGGAAACCCAATAGAGTGTAAAAATTGTCTACACAAATTAGATTACGCCATTACAATTCAATGGAAGGGACAAATTAAATTCGTGTGTGGACGTACTTGGCGCTTGGGGAGGTATTACGACGTAATGATGGACTAAGTGTACATATATAGTGAGCTCCTATAACAATACTAGAACACTTAACCTGCTGGTTGTCCACTGATGCAATCCTTGGATCGCTAATGGAGTAGTTGCACACTCCAAGGCTGATTAATAGCAAGGCCCTATTGCGTAATTGATGAAAGATTCGCCTCTCCCTGGACTAATGGCCGCCACGTGGTCTAAGCGTCGTCCAACCGCATGGCTCGCTGGCGTCCGACTTCTCTCCTCCCTCAACCCCTCTCTTGCGCATGCGCAACATATTAGTAGAAACGGAAAAATATTTTCCTTGTAATTACTCTACATAATACGTCAATGAGAATAGAGTCGCAATTATAGGGAGTTAAATATTGTTTCCATTCTCGCTAATTGCCAATAATTATATACAGTGTTCTTATTGAACGAGAAATGGAGAGAAGTTCTGTTTCCTCCATGATGGTTTAAGATAACAGATAAACTGTTATATAGTGATATTTTAGCGGATAACTCGTTGTTATTGAATCACTAGTTGTTATATTATCAGTTGTTAATTCTTGTAAAGAATAGTGATAAAGGTTGAGAATATTATTCAATTCTCTGGCATGTTGACAATAATTATGTCTTGCTGGATATTATCTGACGCAATACTGCCTCTCGATGTGGGGAGAATTTTAGTAAATGACGCGCAGATAGGAAAATATTAATTTATATTAGTACTACAGTTAGGAGGGTTAATAGATACTATGCTTGTTGACCAGACCACACACTAGAAGGTGAAGGGACGATGACGTTTCGGTCCTTCCTGGACCATTCTCAAGTCGATCTTTAGCCATGTTATTGTGACACATCGCCTGCAGATACTATGCTTAGTATACAATAGTGATGTATTATGATACAATAAGGATGAATCAGTGTTGGAACTTTCCAACAATGATAACCACCTACAAAATTTTCAGGGAAATTGACAGGGTGGACAAACACAAACTCTTCAGCACGGGTGGGACACGAACAAGGTGACACAGGTGGAAACTTGGTACCCAGATGAGCCACAGAGACGTTAGCAAGAATTTTTCAGTGTCAGAGTAGTTAATAAATGGAATGCTCTAGGAAGTGATGTGGTGGAGGCTGACTCCATACACAGTTTCAAACGTAGATATGATAGAGCCCAGTAGGCTCAGGAATCTGTACACCTGTTGATTGACAGTTGAGAGGCGGGACCAAAGAGACAAAGCTGAACCCCTGCAAGCACAATTAGGTGAGTACCACTATTTAGTACATTAAATTATGGGAATTAATGTACATAGGCCTTCATTTTATTATGACCCTTGACCTCTGGGTATGGTTCCTCTGTTTGCAGTTGTCAAACAATATATAATAACACGGCCTTGCCTACTATAAGTATCTAGGGTAAATAACTCAACTGCTTACTCAACAAAGCAATATACTTAAAGTAAGGGTAACAAAGAACATACAAACATATAAATGGAAATACAGGCAGCCAGAAATATTAATGCACCAGAATACAATAATACAATATTATATAAGAACTGATCACTATTTTAAAACTTAAATAGATAGATGGGTATGCACATAATGGTCTAACCAGGAAATCAGCAATGTTACTAAACAATAAACAAATACTACAGACTTAACTCCACAACATGTCCACGCCAGCCAGTTCCACCCACGCGACTGGTGTTGCTGGAGCATGCACGGCATGGCGTCTACAAGGTACCAACTAAAACCCACATGTGTGGGGGTTTTCTATTTTGCTTTTCCAACTGCAATGCGTACGTCGCCAATGTACATGTGGCAGACGCTTCATGAAGCTGTCGGAATCAACAGAGAAAATACAAGAGCAACCGTACAGGTCCTGGGAGCAAGGTCGAGTTAGTCCTTGAGGGTCTCTTCTCAGACTAGCCTCACCTGGTCCTGGTCTACGTTGATCGTTGGAATCTCCTCAATGCTTTTACACTTTAAGGGACTCCTAGGGTCCTCATCACATTTAGTGAATAATATAGTTTAGTGAATAGTTCATAGTGAATGGGAAAATAGTTCATAGGCAACTCGGTGTTGCAGACACCTGGAGCTGGAGGCTTGAGTAAATAGTTGGCAGTATTCAGAAGTGGTTCAACGGAAACACCGCATAAAGCTTAACAGTAGTTTATTTACTAACTTAACCACTAATACACAGGGTGCTTGATTTACTTTAGATTGGCGTCAGAAAGGCTATGGTTGCATTAGCAAGACTCTTGACGTCTGGCTAATCGATTCGGATCCACTCGTGGAGAAATACCTAACTTAACACAGTTGACAGTCAATCATTAACACGGCAACCTAACTGCCGGTATGCAAAGGGATCACAAGAGTTCCAACCGGATACTCGGGTAATGATGATGCGCAATAAATTGCAATGGCACTGTCAATGGGACAGGCAATAACATGCACAATAATAATATCACACAATAACTAAATGTGTGGTGTATGTGAAGCTCACATTCACAGACGTGTGTACTGTCGTGATACCACACAGATAAACACACATACACCGTAGGGTGTCTAGGTCTCCACCTATACCTGTGTCAGGTATAAGAAGGTGAGAACTGTGGTTGATCCCTCAGATCAACACAGACAGACACAATATAACAATGACAAGATCTTGTACATACAGGTAGGCTACCTCTCTTATTCATTCACTCACTCAGGCACATTTATGCAAGAACTCGTAGTTGGCCTGACAGCCGGTTCGCTCGGCGACAGGCTTTCCTACAAACCGTACTTGACACGGAGGGTACTCCCAGGAGGGTGCGCTGTATGTCTAACAGACAGACACACGAACACACTTGTTGGCACTGGCGGTGAGTAAGGTGGTGACGTCACGTAGTACAGTGAGGGCGGCGGCTGGCTACACGCTCGGGACAGAGTGGCGGCTGGCGGCTGCAGGTTATATGGTACCATGCGGTACACTGTGGTAAAGTCACACACAGATTACTTAGGCAGCGGCACTCCTAAGTTCACTCTAGGTCACTCACAACGATCTCCACTTGTCACCAGGGGTTACCTGATACCAGTCTGTTTCGCTCTGGTGATTTGTCACTAGGCTTCTAAACTATATAGTCATGATCGCGATTCCGGGCGAACGTTGGTATATCGGAAAGGTGCTGAGTTTAACTTGACGGTGTCCAGTCTATTGGCCGATAGACAGAACAGGACACGTCCTTTATGTACGGGCTTCCTTACTTGAATGTCCTTGCAAGAGAAGCAGGGCTCCTCGTGGGGCACAAACACAAGGGGTTACAATTGACCAATGGCGCTTCAGAAAAAGAGTGGGAACCAATCATATTGATCGTTCCATGATCAGTAGCAGAGGTGACGTCATGAACACGTCACACCCACGTCACAGTTATTCTCCATCGCGCAGGTTGAGGCTGACTCCAGAGGTCAGATCTATCGCCTCGCTGGCGTCTCCTCTCTCTCTCTCACGCCTGGCACCTCCTATGTGTACTCTGACCCTATGGCGTGGATGCTTAACTTCCCTGTATCTACTCCCTGCCT